CAAGCAGCCTCGGGTTCCTTCCCGCCCTTAACCTCAGCCCCACGGTGCTATGGCTAGACCGAGAACAGAGGCCTCTCGGGACAATGAGACAGCGAAACCACCGGGGTCGGGCGGACAGGCCCGAGGCTCCCACTGGGCTCCGTGGTCGCGGCCTCCGCGGGCTCCGGTCCATCCGAAAGGCCGGGAAGGCAGGGAAGGGCGCGGGCGCGCGGGTCTCAGCCCGGCGCGGCGGTTAGGTCCGCACCTTGAAGGCCAGGGTAGTGGTTCCATGAAGCATTTCGATTCTCGGCTCCTCCGCGACACCCCAGTTGGGCGCGGCCAGGCTCAGCCCATCGCTGGGACTCCCTGGACCCAGGTCCAGCAGATCCGCACGACCCCCGAGTCCGAAAAACCCGAGCCCGTTCACCGGGAGCGGCCTCTCCAACACGCTGGCCAGCGCCATGGCTACTAAGGGCACAAGTAACCCGCTGCGAGCAGGCCTACCAGAGAGCAGCCGGGCAACGCCTCGCCGTCACAGCTTCACTTCCTATTAAAGCTATGCCAAGGAGGAGCCATTTTAACTACTGGCAACCACGCCTCCAAAAGCAAGAGCCAAACGCCGGGGACTGTTTTCACCGAGGGAGAAAAAATAAATACCTTAGCTTCCTCTAAATTTTAAAAGGATGTTGTCATCTTGACTTTAGTCAGGCAAGCAGCACTGAATTAAATTCACCTCTAATTCATAGGAAGCGATTGGAAACGTCCGTGTTGCGTAAGGGAAGCGAGGCCGGCCATCTTTGAGAAGGGCGTGACTAGTTGAAAATCCTCTCAGAACCCTTAGCGCTGAGTCGTCCCCGCCCTGCCGGGTGTCCAAGCAATACTTTGCATCTGTGCGGCGTTAGCATCCTATTAACGCGAGTGAAATTGCCATTTTGTTTAAGGGCACCCTGTAATACTGGGTAAAATAATGATGTCCTCTGAGGCCATGTTCCTGTGAAGTTAGTTAAACCCCAGTAGTTTGTGGTAAAAATTGCTACAAAATAAAAGTGCTATATACCTCTTGTTTGATAGCATTAATCGCCAACACTACCCCAATTCTGTAACGTAACCAACTTTTAAGATTTGATATTCTCTTTACTCCCACCCTGTGGTGGAAATTCTAATAGGTAATGTATTGCCCAAAAGGCAGAAGAATAAAGAAGGAAACGTATGGGACTCAGTTAATCCACAAACTAGATTCTCAATTCAGCTCCGAATAACTGAGTCAATAGTCATTTACCATCTTAGAGCCTGGAGGAGGGTTGACACTCCATAAAGATGTACCAAGAGGTTCTCTAACTTAAGCTTGCTAAGACAAGCTCTTTATTAATACAGGAATGTGGTATATATCATAGTCTCTCCCTCTCTCCACCCACCTTCATTTTTCAACCCTTTTGGGACCCATAACAAACAAGGAAGTGGGCAAATGTATGAAATGTTGCCTCCTGCTTTATGGTTCTATGAAGTCAGTGTCTGGCCTTCCTTGTTGGATTCCAGCAGCAATATCCATCAATATCTAAATTCCACTTTCCTCTGAGACCCAACTCAGCCCCTCCTCTTCCCCAGAAGACTCTGCATATGTTGTATTTTTAATGCTGAAATTTGGCAACCCTTTCCAAGCCCAACCATCAGAATGTAATGAAGCAGAAGATCTTTTTCTGCGTCTCACACTTGGATGGTGTGGAAAATGCAGAGTGCCTCTGTTTATAGAGCAGGTATTATTTTGCAGTACCCCCTGCAATGCAACTTGTTGTCCTTCTGACTCTTCTCTGTGGTTCGTTCACACTGAAACTAAGAGCATTTGTACCTCTCTTAAGACACTTTCACATTTTACCTGGCTATAAGTGAACTTGATTGTAAGCTTCTAAAGACAGGTATTTCTCTACTACTCATCCCTGAGCCCACCGTATGCTTAGTAAATGCTTGCCAAGTGAATACATGAGAGAATGGCAACATGTTCTTCCAGTTGCAGAGGCTTGAAACCCTGGCCATCTTCAACAACTCCCCTTCCTTTCCATCACGTTCAGTAAGTTGCCAAGTCCTGTTGATTCTTCCTCTACAATGCTTCTCACGTTCTTTTTGATAGCAACTGATACTACCTTTGGCTTCTTATTTCCTTACCCCTGAATTACTGAAATATTCTCCTAACTGATATCCTGGGCCCAAATTGTACTCTCTAATTCATTTTGCACAGTACCAGATTGGTTTTCCTAAAACACCCTCTTAATCTTATCTTTTGCCCGCTTAAAAATGTTCTGTAAAATTCAGCTCCTCAGCATGGCGTTCAAGGCCTTCCATAATCTGTTCTCAACTTACCTTATATTAGTTCTCTAGATAGATAGATATGTATATCACCTGTCACTATCTCTATCTATCTGTATCTACATATAGAGATATATGTCAGACAGAGAAAGACAAATATGTATGATCTCACTTATATGTGGAATCTAACAAAGCCAAACTCCATAGAAACAGAGAGTGGATTGGTAGTTACCACGGGTTGTGGAGTAGGGGAAATGGGGAAATGGTGGTCAAATGGTACATACATATTTCTAGTTATAAGAAGAATAAATTCTGGGAATCTAATGTACAGCATTGTGATTATAGTTAATGATGCTAAACCGTACTGTGTATTTGAAAGTTGCTAAGAGAGTAGATTTTATTTATTTATTTTTTTAAAGATTTTATTTATTTATTTGACAGAGACAGAGACAGCGAGAGCAGGAACACAAGCAGGGGGAGGGGCAGAGGGAGAAACAGACTCCCGGCTGAGCAGGGAGCCCGATGTGGGACTCGATCCCAGGACCCTGGGATCGTGACCTGAGCCGAAGGCAGACGCTCAACAATCTGAGCCACCCAGGCGCCCCAAGAGAGTAGATTTTAAATGTTCTACCACCACCACCACAAAAATGGTGAATTATGTAACGTGAAAGAAGTGCTAACTAACCTTATTGTGGTAAACATTTTGCAATATATGCATGTATCAAATCATCACACTGTACACCTTAAACTTACACAATGTCATGTGTCAATTTTATCTCAATAAAGTGGGCTTGGGGGAGAAAAAAATGATAAATGTTGTAGTTGAGAGGTGAGAAAGGAGATCAACATAGCTTGGGGTGAGGTGGGGAGACCAGGAAGGCCTTGCTAAGGAAGTGTGGATTCATTTCCCAAATACCACTTGGGTCCCATTGCTCCTCAAACCAACAGCCTCTCCTCTCTCAGACCACACCTGGGAAGGATTTTCAGAATAGATGGTACTCAAGCCAGGCTTTGAAGGATAGGATTCAAATAGATGAAGGAGAGGGGCGCCTGGCTGGTAGAGTGTGGTTCTTGATCTCGGGGCTGTAAGTTCGAACCCCACATTGGGTGTAGAGATTATTTAAAAATAAAATCTTAGGCACCTGGGTGGCTCAGTCGGTTGCCTTCAGCTTGGGTCATGGTCCTGGGTCCTGGGATGGAGCCCTGAGTCGGGCTCCCTGCTCAGTGGGGAGTCTGCTTCTCTCTCTCCCAGGCAGCCCTACCCCCCACTCATGCTCACTCTCTCTCTCTCTCAAATAAATAAATAATGTTTAAAAAAATAAAAAATAAAATCTTTAAAAAATAGATGAAAAAAATAGATGAAGGGGAGGTATGAGATGTGTTAGGAATAATGTGAAAAGAGGTTGTGGTAGATGGATCAGGACGGGACCATAGTGGGTCTTAAATGCCAGCCTGGGGAGGAGAAGGTGGTTTGGGTTGATCTTGCAGCCCTTCAAGGTTTCTTAGTAGAGAAGACACAGGACTTGAGTGATACCTTAGGAAAACATGTCAGTGTAGAGGACAAGATTAGAGGGGAGACGGGAGGGTGGCCAGTTAGAAGGCCATTCAACTGTCCAGATCTGACTTGAGAATGGCTTGACCTTAGGAGGTGACAATCCATCCATATATACAGCAGCTAAGGCTTAATCTTTAAAAACAGGAGACATACTTATCTCTCCAGTAAGAGTCCCATGTGGTCCTGTGCAAAAGAAGGGAGAAAGACTGGTTGGACTTTAGTGTGACCTCCTGGTTTCTCCAGTCTTCCCATGACATATTTGCACTTGCCCTTAGTACTGACTCTATGGCCCCACCATCATGGTCTGGGGGGTCCAGGCTCTTTCCCTTGTGTGTGGGTCTGTTTCTTTTACTAAACCCATTTCCACAGCACTCCTTTGAGCTGCAGTGTTTAGTAAAATATACTCCAGATGGTGCCAGAGTAGTTGCAGCTGGTCACTCTGCCCCAATCTACTTTGTCTTTCTGCAGGGCCAGCCGTCAGGGTCTACTAATCCCATCCCTTGCCCACCCCTAGCTGGTCTAAGATTTAGACTCAGCCTTATGGGGACAAGGTCAGTTGTTTCTCTTGTCTTGGAACTACAAACAACTCTCTTGCTCTTGTGAACTACTGGGCAGAAGGGGGACCGGAAGAGGGAAGGCCATTAGATACTTTCAGCTACACCCTCAGAACTTTCCCACAGAGAAGCTATACTGCCAGAGAACTGTCAGGAATGCTGTCTTCATGCAGATGGAAGTTCATATGCACCTCCAAAGCAGAGGAGAATCAAGAGTTGGACATTCAGCCGACTGAGCTGCCCAGGTGCCCCTTAATTTTTTTTTTTTTAAAGTAAGCTCTAGGGGCGCCTGGGTGGCTCAGTTGTTAAGCATCTGCCTTCGGCTCAGGTCATGATCCCGGGGTCTTGGGATCGAGCCCCGCGTCGGGCTCCCTGCTCCGCGGGAAGCCTGCTTCTCCCTCTCCCACTCCCCCTGCTTGTGTTCCCTCTCTCACTGTGTCTCTCTGTCAAATAAATAAATAACATCTTTAAAAAAAAAAAAGCAAGCTCTATGCTCAACATGGGACTTGAACTCATAGCCCTGAGGTCAATGGTCGCATGCTTTACCAACTGAGCCAGCCAAGAACCCCTCACAGGATTCCATTCTGATGGCATTAGAGCCCTGACTTGTCTTTACCTCCTCCTAGGCTGGGAGCTCTTGCAGGGCTGGGACAGAGCCTCATTTGTCTTTGCATGCCCCATGCGCCCCACAGGAGAAACAAGAGGGGAGTCTGCTGTGCTCCTTCCACTCATGCCTCCCTTCCTTTGAAGTTACCCCAGCCCCCGCCCCACTCCAGGTGCTTGGAGGTTGATAGACGGGAGACTCCTTGGGTGACGCTCAGGTGTGTCACGAGCAGCGTCTTCCCCGCAGTGGCGACTTCACTGGCCTCCTCCTGTCTCCCCTCAGCAATCCTCTGAGGAGGAGGAGGAGGCTGCTCCTCAGAGCCAGTCCCAAAGCCTGACTTGGGGGTAGGCAGAAGTGAAGCCATAGATCACGTGCCCTTCTGGGCCCCTCCGTGCGGGTTCTGGCTGTAGCCCAGCTTCTCCTTAGCGTCTCTCTTCCCCCACCTGGCTCCAGCCCGCAAAGCCCTGCCGGGTTCCTTCCAGCCATCACTCAGCCCCAGGGATGGCTCTGCAGGATGTGTGCAAGTGGCAGGCCCCCGGCACCCAGGGACCATCGCCTCACCTGCCTCAGGCGGGTGGCTGGGCCGTGCCCCCAGGCTGGGACCCTCAAACCTTCCTGCGGATCCACGGCCCCAGGCTGGCGCATGGCACCACCACGTTGGCCTTCCGCTTCCGGCACGGAGTGATCGCCGCCGCCGACACACGGTCCTCCTGCGGCAACTATGTGCAGTGTCCGGCCTCACGCAAGATCATCCCCGTGCACCAGCACCTCGTGGGCACCACCTCCGGCACGTCGGCCGACTGCGCCGCCTGGTACCGCGTGCTGCGGCGGGAGCTGCGGCTGCGGGCGCTGAGGGACGGTCAGCTGCCCAGCGTGGCCGGTGCCGCCAAACTCCTGTCGGCCATGATGTCCTGCTACCGGGGGCTGGATCTGTGCGTGGCCACCGCGCTGTGTGGCTGGGACCGCTCCGGCCCTGCCCTCTTCTACGTCTACAGTGACGGCACCCGCCTGCAAGGGAACATCTTCTCGGTGGGCTCGGGATCTCCCTATGCCTACGGCGTGCTGGACCGCGGCTACCGCTACGACATGAGCCCCCAGGAAGCCTACGCCCTGGCTCGCTGCGCCGTGGCCCACGCCACCCACCGCGATGCCTACTCCGGGGGTGCTGTAGACCTTTTCCACGTGCGGGAGAGCGGATGGGAGTATGTGTCCCGCAACGATGCCTGTGCACTGTACTCGGAACTGCAGAAGCTTCCAGAGCCAGGGAAGGAGGAGGAGGAGGAGGCCCGCTGGGATCAGCCTGAGCCAGTCACCCTGCACAGAGACTCCAGGATGCCGGCGGGGACTGAGATGCTGTGAGAAGCGGCAGGACTTGGGGGGGCCTAGGCCAAGGGAGTGGGGTGGGAGGATGGGCACGGGGGCGGGGGGAGGTGGGAGGTGGTGGGAGCAGCCTCACGGCATCTGGCTCCAGCCCACAGGGGTCCCCTGTTTGTTCCACGTCTCCATCCCTTTGTGCCTCCCAGTGCTATTGATGGCTCTGTCCAACATGTTCCTCTGCCTGATGGATTGGTCCAGCCAACTTCCCACCCCCAAGTTCTCTGCAGCGAATCCTCCGGGGCATGCCTACTGCATGCCAGACACGGGGCTAAGTGCTAGACCCTCTTTCTCACCGCCCTCTTTGCTGCTTTTTCCCACGCGATCCCCCGCTCTCTTTGCCTCCCATTCCTGTGCTCATCTCAGCTTCAGAGTCTTTGTCACTGTGTCACCTTGGTGAGGGGGGTAGCGGGGAGTGGAGTAAGGTGGGGCGAGTGGCCCAGAGTGCCCAGGCTGCGGGGGGGGGGGGGGAAAGGGCAGCGTGGACCCTGTGGTGGTGAGGGGCTTCTCCCAGCTGCTCTCCCCTCGGCCCCCTCCCCTGCCCCCGAGGGACTCTAAGGACTACAATCACTACTCCTTCTGAATGCCCTTCTCGTGATAACTCTGAGGTAATAATTATCCTCACTTTACAGAAGAGGAAACAGGTTCAAAGGGTTATGTGACTTGCCCGGGGTCGCAAAGTAAGTGGCAGAGATGAGGCTGGGACCCGGGCCTTTGGCTCCAGAGCTCTGCTCCTTCAGCCCAGCTGTCCTCCCAGGTCCTCTTCCTTGCCTTCCTTCTCTCCCCAAGGCCCTGCAGGCATCTGGGAGTGAGGTGGGGGAGGAAGTAGCTGGGCCAAACCCCTGCCTGGTGGGCAAAGGAGCCCGAGGGCCTGGAGGGCAGCCACCCCCACTCCCCCGCCAGGACCTGGAGCCATGGCCGCAGCCCACTGGGAACTCTGTCACTGCTGTGGCCAGACTTCTTTCCCTCTTTCCCCTTCCTGCTTAATTCCCTTTGCCTTCTTTCCAGCCTTTCCTTCCTGTCACTCCCTCTGGGGAATGAAGAGAAGAGGGAGGTTGGCTGTGCCACCGGGAACTGTCCTGTCGGGCTAGCACATCCTCTCCCGCCCTTCCTGCCCCTCCTCCAGCTCCCTGGTAAGCCAAGTTCCAGGAGGGCCACCTTCCCTGCCCTGCCCTCCCCAGGCAAAGCTGAAGGGGGGTGAGTGGAAAGCACAGTCAACTGAGAGACGGGACTGACCGGAAGGAAGGTTGCTGAACCTTCCTTCTCTCATCCCACTCCTGCAGAGCTTCCAGTCCCCAGATTCGCAGCCCCCTTTCCTCCCTCCTGGACACCCCTCCTCTCAGCCTGCAGCCCAGCTCTGAGCCCCAAGCCTCAATACTGCACTTCCTCCAGGCTGGAGCTGGACAGACAGAGGAGACCCCCAGGCTCTGGCCTTCAGGGCATAATCAGGGAGGAGACGGGAAAGGCATGGAGTCTCAGGAAGGAAAGCAGTGGAGGCAGAGGGAGGAAAGTGGGTGGTGGGGGGGGAGAGTGGCAGAAAGCTGCCTCTTACAGGAGGGCTATTATTCCAATCAGGGTCCTGGAATCTGGTGGGTGGCCTCAGCAGCAACCCTTCACCCCCTGTCCACTCTTCAGCCTTTGGGGAGAAGGTGCGGGGCTCTGGGAATGATAAGCAGAGCTCAGGGACCCCCGGGGCCAGCCTAGTCCTGGAGGAGCACAGGAGGAAAGCTTTTGCCCAGGGTTCAAGTACGTGATGGACTCAGGCATAAGAGGGTGCATCCCCAAGTGCAGAGATATTTGTGGATCTGTGTCCTGGTGTGAGTGACCCAGTAGAGATGTGTGCATGTGAGTGTGCTAGGTGATGCACGTGCAGTTCCTGTGTACAGAGACAGGAAAGAGACTGGAAGAGAAAGGGTGAACACCTGGATAAGGAGAGCAGCCCCTCTTAGGAGAGAAAGCCAGGCCTTGTCACTTATTTTGCAAAAATGGTCCAAAGCAGAGAGGAAGTGGGGGCAGAGCTCATTTGTTCCCCACTTCTGCATCTTCACATCCCTGATCCTAAAGCCCCAGGAATGAGAAAATGTGGGTATGCATGTGTGGGTGCGTGCAGCCTGGGGTTGCTACCTGAGCCCAGTCCCAGGCTCAAAAACTGCCTGCAGCTCACTCCTCTGGGATGCTCTGCCCCCTTCCCCTCCCCATAAACGGGGGAAGGAGGACTGAACCCACATACAGGGCAGAATAAGAAGGGAGCCCTCCTTCTCCTGTCACCTTGCCCCTTCTCTCCCTTCTCCTTTCCTTTCACGATCCTGTCCCTCTTCACTCCCTTTGATAGGTTCTGTCCTTCGAGATGATGAGGTATTTGAGACCAGAGATAACCCCAGGGGTCTTGCTGACAGGCCTGTTTCCCTATGCCCTGTGTTTCCCTCCGAGTTTACTGGAGTCAGGGCGGACCTCAGGAAGCGGAAAGGGAGGCCTGGAAGGGCTGGGAGAGCAGGTAAAGGCCGCATCCCACTTCTGAGCACACCTTGCCACCTAGGAGTGGCCCATGGGTCAGTCCCTCCCTTGTCTCCACTTATGGCGGAAGGCTTGATGCAGATGTTGGGGTGAGAGCAGAGGGGCAGAGAGCTTGCCCATCCTGCCCTGAACTGGAAAACCCTGTCCCTCTAACACCACGCTTGCAGTGTTGGCTCCCAATCGTCTCCTTTGGGGGACAGCCAGCCTGCTCTTGCACAGGCCTTCTGCCAGTCAGGGCTCCGGGTCCATCCTTCACAGAGTAAAGGACAAGTCCAGCCCGGGGCAAGGGTCCTGTTCTCCCGCCACCTGGTTGCCCTAACCAAGCAGGCATGGAAGGTGTGAGAAGGCATCTTCCCATTGGAGTAGCTCCCCCGGATGGCCAACACCCCACACTTGGAGGGGAGGGTCACGAGGATCTGTCCTGACCCATCACCTCCTATCACTAGGAGCCCTGCCTGGAGTTAGGACCTCCCTTCTCTGCTCAGGGAGTGCACCCTGAGAAATGACGGCTCTCTGTTCAGCTCCCACCCCAGTTGACTTTGATTCAGCCCCTGGGCCCCTAGAGAGCCTGCCTCCCTGGTCCCTCTCCCTCCTCCTTTATGTTCCCTGGAGAGTAAGACCAGGACTGGGGAGAATTAAAGGTGGCAGCACTGGGCCCAGAATCAATGGGACTATGCCATCTCACCCTGGCCCACCCTCTCCCACCTGGCACCACAGGCCCCAGGAAGACTGGCTTGCTCCCTCTGCTGCCCCCCAGCCACATTTTTTTCCTAGTCTGAAACCCTCTTCATCTCTTCTTAGTCTTTTATCTCTCCCCCTCTCTTCTTAGGAGCTCTCACCCCCACTTCTCCTTGCCACCCTCCCCTCTGGCCAATCCCCCTTAATTCCCTTAGACATTTTGAGACCAACAAGGAACAGGAGAGTTGGCAGTGGGGATACTTACTCCCTGAATGGAAACAACCCAAACTCTCCTTGGGCTAGAGGGACTTGAGTGGACTGCCCCCCCCCCCCCAAAGAAGAAAGGAGCCAGCGGGGTTGGGTCAGGCCTCTGCTCCCACCCTTTGGCACAGGGAAGCTCTGTATAGAAACCTGCATGCAGAACGGGAAACAGGGCTCCAGCTTTAGAAAATAAAGTGTTTGTTTATTATGAAATTAGAGATGGAGGCCCCTCCCCTTCCTCCCTTTTTCCCCTTCCCCAGCTGCCTCCCCCTTTCCTTTCCTTTCCTTTCCTTCCCCTCCCCTCCCCCTGGGGCCTGGGAAACACACAAGACAATGCCCAGAGCTGGGATGCCCAGGGCAGGCCAACAGCTGGGCAGAGCTCCAGGGAGGCGGCCATGTGGGGGGCTGGAGCTCTGGCCCTGGGAGGTGGGCTGGCACCCTCTCTCTGCTGGAGGCCAGTGGAGCCAGGATGAGGCCATGAGTGATGGATGGAACCATGCGGGCAGGTCTGTAAAGACAGGAGACCCGAGGGGGGGCGGTTCTAGTCTGCGAGTGGAGGAGGGCTTCAGGCAATCCCAGTGCTCGCCCCCCCCCCCCCCCCCAATTAGCAGCACTGACCTGGGGCCGAACATCCCCCGCAGGAGGGTGGGCAGCAGTGGCTGGAAGTTTCTCTTGCTTTTGGGATGGACAACAGAAAAAACGGAAAAGCCAATCGCAGGGACCCGGAGAGAATGCAGGCAGATGCGGGCAGGAGACAGACACAGAGCATGTGTGTGGGCAAGGGAGACAGAGAGAGGGTGTGTGAGAGATTTAGAACGGGGCAGACAAAAACAGAGTCACGGAGAGAGTGGAGTCACAGTGAAGGAACAGAGAGATTCAGAGTCGAGCCACACAATCCAGACCCAGACAGGAGAGTGTTACAGAAAGAGACAGAGATCCCTGGAGGGAGACATACAGACGACTGGGGAGGAGGGAGGTAAGAAGGACGTTGCCCTGGGGAAGCTGGGAAGAGGGACACAGGGACAAGGGGAGGCCTGGGGGCTCTCCCCCGGGGCTGCTGCCGCCCGCCTGGACCCCAGGGGGGTGGGGGCTCACTCAGAGGGCCTGTGCGGGCTGCCCCCCCACCCCGCGGCGGGCAGGGCTGGGGCCGGCTTTCAGGGGGCCGGGGGCTCCTTGGCCCCATACAGCTCGGCCAGGGTGTGGAAGAGCGGCCCCCAGTCGTCCGGCGGCTCGGCGGGGCCCGGGGCGCCCCCCGCCTCGCTGCCGGAGCCCAGCGAGCTGAGGGAGCCGCAGGAGGAGCCGCGGCCCTCGTAGCCGTACACCTGCACCGAGTCGTAGGGCGGCACGCTGGGGTCGTCGTCCGCCTCGCGGAGCCGCAGCGCCAGGAGCTGGGCCACGTCGGCGGGGCCGGGGGGCCGGGGCTGGCGGGGCCCCCGGGCCCGGGGCAGGACGTCGCGGCGCGCGGGCGGCGGCGGCGGCGGCCCGGGGTTGGGCGGGGCCGCCCCGTCGGGGTTCTGCAGGGCGCTGATGTCGAAGGCCTCCGTGTCCTCTTCGCCGCCGCCCTCGTCGTCGTAGG